TTAGTGATGCTGTGGCTACCCTTTCGCAGTGCCTGGAGGCTGTAGGGGCCTGGATGGGGAACAACAGGCTTCAGCTGAGCCCTGGTAAGACTGAGTGGCTGTGGGTTAATGGCGCCTCTGTATCCGGGACTTTGTCATCTTTGGTGCCGGATGGGGTAGCACTGCCTCAGACAGACCCAGTGCGTAATCTGGGGGTCCTCCTAGACTCACAGCTCCTGCTCGAAGAGCAGGTGGCAGCTGTGGCAAGGAGGGCCTTGGGTTGTGCATCAGTTACACCCTTTCCTGGATTGGGATGCCCTTCAAACAGTCACTCATGCCCTTATCTCCCATATAGACTACTGCAATGCGCTCTACATGGGGTTACCCTTGAAGAGCATCTAGAAGCTACAGCTGGTCCAGAATGCAGCCACGCAGGCTATTTTGGGAGCCCCAAGAAGGGCCCACATAACGCCATTGTTCCACGAGCTGCATTGGGTACCAGTTTGCTTCCAGGTCCAATTGAAGGTGTTGGTTATCACCTTTAAAGCCCTACATGGCATGGGACCAGGTTACCTAAGGAACTGCCTCTTCCCCATGACTTCAACCTGTCCCACCCGATCACACAGAGAGGGCATGCTTCGGACTCCCTCAATAAAAGAACTCTGATTAGCGGGGTCCAGAAGGTGGGCCTTCTCTGCTGTAGCCCCTGCTCTTTGGAATATTCTGACCCCAGAGGTGAGATTGGTCCCCTCACTCCTGGCCTTCTGGAGGGCTTTGAAGACCTGATTCTGCCACTTGGCCTGGGGTGGGGAGGGAATACATCAGGTGTGGGGATGGCTAGCCCCATAGAGGCTTGCTGTCTTCAGCCCCAGAACCATCATCATCTTCTTTTTTGATAATGTTTTGTATAATTTTTTTATGTTTTATGTATTTATATATATTTATTGTTTTAATGCTGTGTGTAAGCCGCCCAGAGTCCCCCATTGAGGGGAGATGGGCGGAGAGAAATTTAAATAATAACAATAATAACAACAACAACAGGCTTCAAATGAACCCTGGTAAGATGGAGTGGCTGTGGGTTCGGGGAGCCTTAAGATCTAGGAGTTTATCATCTTTGGTTCTTGACGGGGTTGCATTACCCCAGACAGACCCGGTGTGTAATCTGGGGGTCCTCCTAGACTCAAGACTCCTGTTCGAAGAGCAGATGGCAGTCGTGGCTAGGAGGGTCTTTGTGCAACTTCGTGTTGTGCATCAGTTATGCCCCTTCTTGGATCGGGAGGCTCTCTGCACAGTCACTCATGCCCTGGTCACCTCCTGATTGGATTACTGCAATGTGCTCTACATGGGGCTACCCTTGAAGAGTATCCAGAAGCTACAGCTGGCACAAAATGCCGTGGCGTGGACAGTTCTGAATGCCCCCGGGGGGCACGTATAACACCTCTGTAACACGAGCTGCATTGGTTGCCAGTTTGCTTCCGGGTCCAATTCAAGGTGCTGGTTATTACCTTTAAAGCCTTTCATGGCACAGGACCAGATTATCTGAGCTGTCTTGCCCCCTTATATCAGTCCACCCCACTTGGTCTGGCAGAAGGGGCATGTTGCAGACCCCACCAGTCAAGGAATTTCGACTAGCGGGGTTTAGGAAGAGGGTCTTTTCTGCCATGGATCGCGCTCTGTGGAACAACTTACCACCTGAGGTGCCGTGCCCCCACTCTCATGGCTTTCAGGAAGAGAGTGAAATCTTGGCTATGCCAGATGGCCTGGGGGCCTGTTGGGGACTCGCATTGTTGGAACTGGCTCATGGGGTAATTGATTCTGCCCCCCCACTTGAATTTTATAGTCTTTTTATGTATATATGCTTTTTATATAGTATGATTTTTTTAGCTAATTTAATGTGGATATTTGTATTTTTTACTGTTTTTGATTTTTGATTTTAATTGTGAGCCACCCAGAGTCACCCTCTGAGGGAGATGGGTGGCATATAAATTCAATCAATCAATCAATCAATCAATATAGCACAGTTTACTAAATAACCCTTTTTTGACATCCTCTGCCTTGCTTTCATTTGATAATGAGTTATAAACTGGTGCAATTGCCTGTTTTTACACATTTTCTTGGCAACCATTAAATATCTGAAATAAAACCTCCATTTCCATAACAAGATATTTTATACCATTAGATTTATATCTACTTTAGTGATATAATGCCAATGACTGCAAGCAATCTAGGCAAAGCAAAATAATAAAGCCAATGTAAAGTATTTACCACTAATAAAGAATATACAGAGAAAGATATTGAAAGCTGTACCGGTGCTCTGATTTTTCATGTGCAGATATCCTAACAATACTTCAAGGCATCCAATAACAGTCTGTGATAACAAAATGTCCTTCTGTAAACATAAAAGTGAGAATACTGTTTATTATCAAATTCAGCTAAAAGGTATGCCTGAAATTATAACAGAAGTGGAAATGGCTTCTCCTTTTTTAATCACCCAGTTGAAAGAATAAAAAATATTGTTCATAATCTTAAAGTTGTCTTAAGAGTCATATTAAGTTATAAGAAAGCTATGGGACATAAAACATTTGAAAATTTCTAGCATTTAGGAAGCCCTTCACAAGGAAAGGGACTTGCCTGCATCTCCACAGTACCATGGACTGTCCAATAGTCTTTACATGCAGAGACAATTTTGGAAATATATCAGGTCTGCTTCTACTCCAGAGGAAATACAGCAAGGGCAGATTTGCTGTGCTTCTTCTGTAGCACTACACCAAGCAGTTTTCCATTTGACAGGAAAGAGGTGGGAATTTCCTTCTCATCTCAGCTTCTGGGATTCCTCCACCTTCATGAACTTAAAGTAATAGCATGTCACCAATCCTCTGTTGCTTTTTGGCTGTTCTGAGGGATGAGGTTACCATACCACTGCATGGTGATCTTTTAAAAACTGTTTTCTGTGATGCAGAAAAGAAAACATAGCAAGGGAATAACAAGGAAGTGGGTAAGTGCTGGCTAGCTGATGCTTTTAGTGTTTCCCCACTGGCCAACTGGAATCAATGCTGGCTTGGTCAAGGGGATGGGGGAAAGGCATGTACCCAAGGAGTACTGCAGAATACTCCAAAATCCTTCTCACACATAGGGGGCAGATGCAGGAGACAGTAGCTGGGAAGATAGCAGAGTTTACAACATTGAGAATGAATCTATATCTTTATGAATAAGTGTCTTTGGTAATAGTAGTGGTAGTAGTGTCTACATCATTAAATAGTTCAAGAAAAGTGAGAAAAAGTGCACTGGACTGTGTTTACACTCCTCCATTCATTTGAAATAAATCAGTTTTGGTGAGTCTTACAATAAGTATTTCAATTTTATATTAACAGTAAATTCTACCTGGACAAGTAGGTTTTGTAACCGGGCAACCAAGGACAGTACATGCCACATAGCCAGTGGATACAAAGAAGCATTCTCTTTTGACCACGGCAATTCCTTTTCCTGTTCACCTGCAGACTGGACAGTAAACTTCACAAAGGAGGAACAGAGGTTCTGCTTAAAGAAGGCTCTCAGAAACTGAAGAATGCTGACTGGATATAAAACCATGTATTAGTATAAAATAAGTCTCTCCATCATACACTTCAGAAATCCTTGGTTATACAGAAGAATCCATGCACCAGGACAGTGCAGTACCTAGTCATCTCATTAGAAAGCCCATTAACTAGCCCAGATTCCTAGCTTTCAGTTTTAAAAGGTAGTAGTCTCTAGCCCTCGAATAAGCGTGTTTATGTATCTCTCTGCGTGTGTATGTGTGTATGCCTGATTATTCTATCAATCTATTTTGTGAAAAAATGATTTGCTACCGTGTTTCAGAGTGATCAGTGAACAAGGAAAGTCCATCTAAAACATTGCAGAAGCTCTAGCCATAATGACAAGAACAGTATGGACAATTTGTCTGAAGAAGACATTTCCTGCTTAATTTCTATCCATTTATATTACTTTCAATATATACATGATTGCTGCCATAAAGATTGAGAAAAACCAGAATTTTAGTACAGTATAGTGTAGCCATGATTAGACATTAGAATATCCAGTTCAAAAGAATAGCTACCTGCAGGGACTTGAATTTATGCTCTCTGTTCAAGTTTTAATTCTTCTTATTGGGTTTTTACTGTTATTGAATATATACACATTAAAAAAATCATCCTGCTGATGACAATAAAGTATAGTAAATACATGTAAGAAGTGGAGCTAAATGAGGTAATTGGGTTAAATCCATATGGGGTGTGAAGGAGGATGGGAAATTGCAATATTGATAAATATTGGTTATTATTACACCCATAATAATGTTGAGTGGAGAACTCCCAAGACCTTCTAATTTTTATTGTTAAGAATGTCTTTGGGAGGCACATTACTTTGTGTTCACATATGTATTTTTTTGTGATGTTACCTACCAAAGAACAATATGCACTTCTTTCTGAATGCAACTGCATTGAAGACCTTATCCACATCCAAGTAGATCATGTGATGAACCTTTCAGAAAGGAATCAAATGAAATGGCTGAGGAGAAAGATAGACGCACAAAAGCAGATGTGTTTTCTTTGTTCAATGTCTTCTCCCTCAAAAAGAACTTTGCCAGGGGGCCTGCAGCTTAATTATTTTCTCTATGTGACCAAAGCACCTCAATTTATATTGTTTGTAGTTGTCACCAAATTCAGTGCACATCATTCATCCTTTCTGCACACATTATTTCTTTTTTTAATTACACACACTTTTTAAGTAATTCATTCCTACAGCATTTAATTTTTATGTTTCTCCTGATACACCAAACTCTCATTTGCATATTAACAAATTGGGCAGCACTGTATACAGTACATAACTTTCACTTCTATCAAGAAGCATTCATTCCGCACAAAAGAACACATTTGCACATCTAATGATGTCTTCATCCATTTTCCCATCTAGTTAGTAAACATTCTGCTAAGATACACAAATTCAATTACTTGCTTTGTGTTTTCTACCTCTACGTATAATTTGCAGCTGTTACCTACATTTATCCCACAGTACATAATGCAACAATCAAGGGGTCATCACATTTCTTTATCTTACTCCCTGCTCTATGTTGAACCATAACCTAAGCATTCCATTTATTCTCACACGTGCTATACTTCTATTATATAATGCTCTTACTGCATTCAGCAGCCAATCTTCAATTCCTGATTCCTGAAAAATATTTCATAACTCAGTCCTATTCACTTTATTGTATGTTTTCTCTAAATTAAAAACATGCAATAAACTTACATTCATACATTTCTCAATTATCTGAAGAACAAACTCAAGCCTGCACACTTTCTGCCTGGCATAAAGCCACACTGCATATCCCAGATTTTGTTCACTATTATATCTTGTACATTTTCAGTCAGAATGCTGCTGAACAACTTCCCAGGAACATTTAACAAACTAATTCACATACACACTTGCAATCTTTCTCTCTGCATAAGGAAATAGTAATCACATTCTTCCATTTGTCAGGCACAGATGCAGTCTTCATACATACATTAACAAGTTGCACAGCCAGTTCATAAGCATACCACACCCAATGTTTATTTTTCCAATTACATTATCTATATCAAGAATGGGAAGTTAACAATACTTAATATAGATAATGACTATTAGTGAATTGAGTGCTTATAAAGATAATTGGTTGTACAGATTTATCAGTGTTTCTAACCTCTGTACTGTAAATATTTTGTTGAGTCAAGAGTGAAGCAGTCAAAAGCCAAGCAGAACAAAGAAGTGATTCAATGGATGAGGAGAAGACAGGCTCAGAGAAAGAGGTCGCCATCCAGGTGCAATGGAGAACTTTCTCAAGGAGCTCTAACAAAGATGTATTGGAAAGTAACAATGCCACCACTGTAAAAGAAGAAAGGATTCAACAAGCTATAAGTGTAACAAGTATAACTTAAGTCAGCAGCTACCAAGTACAATTACAAGCCAGTAAGTACAATTACCAAGTACAATTACAGTATTGAAATCAAAGGGTACAAAGCACCACAGACCTAAGATCCTTGATTTATTCCAAAGATCCTAGCAAATCTCAGTAAATTGTGTATTTTTGTCTCTGGAGATTATGCAGAAAAAAATAGAACACTATTTTTTTAAAATGCTTTTGGGGGATACTGAAAGAGTTTCCGCAGATATGGATTACTACACAATTAATTATGCATATTTTTAAAAACACAATAGATGTATTTTTAAAATAAATACCTTAATTATATTATTTTCAATATAAAGTATACAGGTAGGAGAGCTGTCGCCACCACTAGACTTCTGCATAGCAACAATAAATAGAATTCCCCCCTTTCAAACAGTGCCATATTGATACATATCTTTAATAGCAAGAAAGGAAGTCTCTGAATGCATTTTATTTTATCCATCATGTAACAGAGATTTTTAAAGATTTCTCACACATATCAGCTTAGATGAACTCATAGTAGTAAGCCAGTTTGGTCTAGCAGTTAAGGCACCAGGCTAGAAACCAAGAGACTGTCAGTTCTAGTCCTGCCTTAGACATGAAAGCCAGCTGGGTGTCTTTAGGCTAGTCTCTCTCTCACAGCCCAACTCACCTCACAGGGTTCTTGTTTGGGGGAAAAAGGAGGAGGGAGGAGTATTAGGTATGCTCACTGCCTTGAGTTATTTATAAAAAAATAATAAAGGTGGGATAAAAAATCTAAAAAAAGAATAATACTACCCTAGCAGCAGTAATAGTAGCTTTATTTTTTATGCACTTATAATTAAGTGCAATACAGCTCCAAATAAAACAATTGATATAATATTACAATCAGTAATAACTTTTAATATAAAATAAGGACCCTTTAAATTAAAATGCCCATGACATAACAATAATATGCATACATACTTCATTATGCTCTATGATCCATACACATTAATATATAAAACAATATAAAAGTAATTAAAATATATGCTAGTAATTCATTATTTGATGACACATACAACAATATTAACCTCTATACATTCAAAGCAACATATAAAAATTTATTTTAAAATAATTTCACAGGGCCCCATGAAAAATAAATGTTTTTAATGCTTTTTAAAAGTTTAAGTGATCCAGTTCCAGGCATAATCCTGGTGGGAGTCTATTAGAAAGAACCAGAGCTAGGAGAGAAAAAGCTCTTAAATGTGATGTACCTATTCTAGTACACAGTAGAACCAAATAACCCTGGCTCAATAATTGGGTCGTGTGCACAGGTTACATGAGCCATCAGTAGTATTTCAAAAAATTGACACAATATAATGTAACATTTAGTGATAGAAGAGGTAGGGGCAATATAAAGAAGGGCCAGAACAATATGAATAGCAGCACTTTTTCCATGGGAAGTTTTAAAGCCAGTAACTGGCAGCCATGAAACTCAAAGTCAGAAACAAGAGAAGGAATAAGATGATCAGGGTGGAATACAATATATTTCTGCCTTATCCATGCTCGGTTTAAGACAGTGAGAGCACATTCACTCCAAAATCCTGCCTAGGAATTTGGAAAGAGATGCCCACATCATGTCATCCATAACTGGGATAGATGAATAAATCTGAAAGCATACATAGTAATAGATTTTGGAATACAACAGCTGAGAGCCTAGAGAATGCATAAAGAAAATAACAAGAGACCAGTACTGAGTCCTGAGGAACACCTATTGACAATGGGAAAGATCAAGAAATGGAATTATTCCTCTAAACTGTTCTGTGAGATAAATAAGATTGAAACCATTAAAATGCTGGAACTGCAATACCCAGGGAACTCAATTGTGACAGTAAAAAATCGTGATCAAAAGCAGTAGATAGACCTAATAGGACTAATACTAATGATAGCTGGTTTGCTTTGGCTATCAAGAATTCATTGATGTTATGATCCAAAGTGATTTCTGTGGCGTATCCCAGACGAAAACCTGATTGGTGTGGATCCATAAAATTACTGATAGAAAAGTAAAGTGAGAACTGAGAAAGAGTTATTCTTTCAAGAATATTAAATAGAAGGGGAAGAAAAGACACCAAGCAGAAGTTAGAACAAACAGAAGGATAAGTGGAGTCCTTTTCAAATGAAGCATGTACTTAAGCCTGTTTACAAGACTTGGAAAAAAGGTCAGTGGAAAGTATAGAGCTTACCAACTTTGTAACAAAATATATGAAATAAGGAAGGAAAAGGATCAGAAAGACTGGTAATGTAAGGAGCCTCAGTGGTCACTTTGGCTACCACCTCTTTTAAAATTACAGAGAAGGAAAATTCCAGTTTTAGGTGACTAAAGTTGCCAAATCCAGGAATGCTAGAACCCAGCACTGGACTAAAGCTTGAATCAATTTAAATTTTCAGTACAAAGTAATTATCAAGATCATCAAGCTTAAGCAAAAAGAAACTTCTTAGCAGCAGTTAGTATAGGTAGAGATAGAAGTGAATGAAAAATAATCTGCTTGGTAGACTTCTTTTCACTAGATACTGCATTTTGGTAGTAGGATTATTTTCCCTGCTCCAATACATTAAAGTAGACAGAGAGGATATGGACAGATTCTCATTCTTAAAAGGATGTTTCCTATAGTCTCATTCCAATTTCCAAACTTTTCAGCAAATCTGGAGTTAACCACAGGGAGATAAGTCTATTGAAAGTTACTCTGTCTGCCACTACGAGATCTATTGTTATATGGTGATTCTGGCATAGATAACTGCAAATAATGATACAGACATATCATGAATTGGCCTCATTTAATTCATGGGAGGACTAGGTATACCTTGAAGAATAAAATTGTCAGTCTACCAGTCAGATTGAGTTTCTGTGAAACTAATACTAAAAAAACAAGGACAGACCAAATCCAGATATCAGTAGTAATATTATGAGAAGACAACAGAGAATATACTTCTTAGCAAAGTGAATGATTTATTTGGGATATTGTCCCAAAACCAAAAGATAAATTCTTACTATCAGGTGGCTCGTAACCAAGTACTATTAAGCAACTTAAAGGAAATTTCAGTTCTGCAGTTTGAAATTCAAAATATCTAATAGCCTCTGCTATAGGAGTTGCTACCAATGATGAAAATTTGCAGACTTGGTTTAATATTAAAGCTAGACTTCCACCCCAACTCATTGATCTGGAGACGTATAATAGTTGATAACCCGAACCTCATCAAATATATATAAACAATTTTTATAGAAGCATTAACTATAAAGGAGAGAACTACAACTAGACAGGGCCTTTGTTGTATACAACACATTTACACAGAGAGAGAGAGAGCTTTGTTGCTTAAATCCTGAAATATTGCCTGGTTCTGTTGGGATATAATGCTAAATTATGGTTTAAAGTTTCATGAAAGACATTTAGGCTCATAGGTTATGCCCTTCCCTGTCTATCTCTGGAAATTCCAAGTATCTGAATAGAGTTTTAGTCTACCACACACAACAAAATATCTTTTTTTAACTTTTTACCTATTTGTTGGCTGGAAGGAATTGTCTGCTGAAGGCTCCAGTAAAGGAAGTTCAGGGATGGCTGAAGAATTTCAGAGTCTGTTGGACTGCATTTCCCGGACAAATTGATGACTGCATAACAGAAATACTGTACTCAGTATAATTTTTAGATTTTAACATGTGAAATCTTAGGGGATAGATAGCTACACCTGCTCAATCAGATAAGTTTACAGTGCCATCATAGTCACGAACAAGACCATCTGCTTCAAAACAACAAAAGAGAAATCCCATAGTGAATACAGTCACAGCTGTGCTTAATAATTAGCACCTTTATGACCATTCTTCACTACCATTCAGTTTACGGTGCTGTAGTTATCCTCAGACAAACATTACAGAGGAGTATATTGACAATCTGGCCCAAAGGGTCAAAGAGCTCAGCCTTGAGGAAAGCTAAGTGAGCAGAGACTTAGAACAAGCTAGAACAAAAAAGCTGACTAACTACTTATTTCAGTAAGTACAATTCTCATCACTGACATTTTAGTGTGATGTTTCCTGTTATATACAGGTTCATCCCTCTTGCTCAGAATATAAGCTAAACTGACCCCAAAGGAAAAATGCATGCCTAAAGCACTGCCACTATTGATAAACAGATTTGCATCACTATAAAAGGATCCCCTTTTCCTCTTTAATCTGAGGATTCTCCCTCATATAAAGTTCTATAAGTTGGGGAGACAAGAAGCGTGAGTACTCTATTTGCAATCTGCAAAGGTCACCAGAATAGCTCAGGCCAAGACTTTGGCCCCTGGAAAAAGTTTTAAAGTGATACAATAAAAAATCCCACTCCCTCCCAAAATTGGGCCAACAAAAGTTGTGATTTTAGAGTATAGATGTCAACATGATGCACAAAGCCCAGTATATCCCCCAAGATGTCAGAAATTTTGCACCCCTTTATAGGGGAAACTTTCAAGTTAAAAAGGCAGGTTGTTTACTTGTATCTGCAGTTAGCTGGTTATTTGTGCAAATGGGCTAGAGTGAATAGTCAAGAGGAAGGGGAAGAACAAGAAAATAGTGGCTAGATGGAGATGGATCTTAATCAGATCCTCAAAAAGAGATAGATGAAGAGTTTAAAGAAAAAAAAGGCAAAGATGGTTTGCAAGAATAGAAAGCTACAGTGAGATATAATAAATGATGTTGATGAAAATTAGATTTAATTATTATTTTTTCCTTATCCCATGCCTTAATTTTTTTAGTTTACGGTTTCTTATGCTATTTTTGTGCTTTGTATAAGACTGCTTACCCCAAAATAATGGTGTGATGGGTACGTACCCATAAAACATCCTTTCTCTTAAGTGATATAAAAAGAAAACATTTAACCAATCATTCTCAAACTGCAATCCTGATGAAATTCTGATAATATGATTATAAAATTTATAAAGATTTGGGAGGAGAAATATAGTTGGGAACAATGCTAGGGAAGAAAGAGTTAAATATAATCTCTATATGCTTTGAGCTCCTGAATAAAATAAAGCCCGCAACAATATTATTTAATTTCTTAGAAGGTGTAACTGCAAATGATGTCATTAAATCCAGTGGAGCTGAAGCAGGCAAGCAGGTAGGGAAGGAAGGGAGGGAGGGAGGGAAAGGAAAGGAAAGATAGGTCTAGTTTGGCCCCCAAATCCTACAGATGAATAATTCTTGCTTTCCCTAAACCAAATGTCCAAACAAATTTAGACACTCACCTAAGCGAAGCAATCTGAGATCTGTATTATCCAACTCTCGTTCTGTTGCATATCTCAGCTGAACCAGGAAGAGGAGATTTAACAAAAGTGGCAAGTTCTGGCATACTAAAACAAAAGAACATGAAGCAATAGTTGGAAATTGCAGGAAAGCATATTTTGGTGACATTTTTGGAAAAAAACCTCTAAGCTGTACAAGGTATTCATAGTGAACCAAACTCTCACAGGAGGTGGTGGGCTTTTCTTCATTCGAGGTAATTTAGTAGACGTGTACAGCCATTTGATGACAGAATTCAAATAGATTATGATCTCCATTAAGTCCCTTTGTTACATATTGACCTAGAAAGCTAAATGAAAACTACAAAATGGTGTCAGTTGAATTAAGCATTACCTTTATAAATGGGCATATACTGTATCTATCTTTTCATTCCAACTTAGGCCTATTGATACCATTTGAAGCAAAAAAAAAGTTCTGACGAAGTTGCAACTTCTTGTAGATTTCCCTAAATTTTACATATTTCACTTTGGTACTCAAAAGCAATAGAATTTGTGTTGCATTAATGCAAAGTATTGTTTCATTTTACATCTGAAGTGCAGCCTATGCAGCATGCTATATAGTGTATATTATATGACCATAGATTTATTAGATTTATATCCATATTTTCATTCAGAAGCTCAACATAGTATATATAGCACTTTCTCCCCTTATTTTCCCCTACATCAACCCAATAAGGTAGATTGGGCTGAGAAAGACTGGCCCAAAGTTATCCAGTGAGCTTCCACAGCTAAAAGTGGACTCCACACTGCTTGTCCAATACCTTAACCACTACACTACAATGGGACTCAAGGATGTACAATTAGTTAACATGATTTAATATAATAATCATGATTTCTGTGTATGTCCTGAAAACAGGAAACATTAACATTATATCAGTGTTATGAAAGCTGTCTCAGTGATAATCAAGCTGTGCCAGTCCATTCCTGTCCTCATCAAAAAGGAAGAATCACTACTCTGTTCTTTCCATCTATGCTCAGTGTGGAACTGATGCATGTAGAAGTGGTCTTTGCATTGCTAACTACAGAAGTCAGTTGCAGACTAAAAGCATTATCTTGCTCACATACCTACAGAAAACTCCATAAGCTAATACCTCTGTTCAATGGCATTTCACAATCAAACTTCTGTGGAGTATTTGCTACTTAATTATTTATCTGTCTATTCACCTTGTGAAATACTGGAATTATTTTCTACTAACAGCTGTTGTAAAATCTGTAGAAATTGGCTTCGAAGAAGATTGCAGATATGGATATCCTCAGTTATTCTTAAGAAAGTTTTCAGTGAAATTAAGACTTTGTGAGCCACTTCATTGGTGCCAAAGCAGACTAGATCCTGGGTGGGAAAACAAATCAGGCTTCATTTATGTGGATAACATTATTTACATTTGTGTTACAGATATTAATATGAACACTTAATGAGAAACCCAAACCAAAATGCTGGGGAAAAATGGAAAATACTATTGTTAAATGTAACAAGGTAAGAAACACTGAAGACATTTTCCTCATTTTAGGTCTTTCTTATTCTGTCTTTCAAATTTTACAGAAAATGGCTAACAAAGAATAATGGCTTTATATAAAGTATAAACTATACTTTATATACTGGAAGCAGAGCTATAATTTAAATATTTTCAGATTGTGATTTTGTTCATTTTTGTAAAATCACATACCAACAATACAAGTATAGCACTGGGATTGTCTTTTAGCATGCAAAGCAAACTATTAAAGTTGTTTGAAGAGTCAGGAAAGCCAACAGAGCCTTTTGTGGCAGCATCTTCATATTCAATTTTGGAGAAATCTTCACAGGAAAACCAAAGTTGAAGGATGCAGTGACCAAATCTTCCCATAAGATCAGGATATTGTAAAAAGAACTTAAGCACCAGAGGATGATGAACATATACTAGGCTGAAATCAGATATAACATCCAGGATTTTCCTTATAGCAGAAAGTGAAGCCTGAATATGGAGAATAGAGGGAGAAGGGAATAAAAAAAGTCAATATAAAGTCAAAAGCATCTCTTGGGGCAATCATATTTATAATTCCTTTTTGAATTAAAAAATAGTAATATAATATGTGCAAATAATTTTCATTGTAGTAGTAAGCTTCTCAAGGTTTCTTTTAGGTATAGAAAATAAATAATAATATGAAAGCATTTGAAGTTAGTAGTTTCAATAACATGGAATACCATTCTACCACTTTTTTTGTTGCTGAAAGTGGTTTGATATCGTACACATATATAACTACACTTGTAACATTTTTAGATGATGTTTGCAAGATTATCATGAGTGGCAATAAACTCTAGGTTTTTCCAAACAAGTATTTTATTGTGGAACTGCTGTGCCTCATTCAGGCATCTCTACATGAGAGGAAGGTTCAGGTAATACCAACTTCCATAGTCCTACCATGTTCTTCTATCATTCCTATAATTCCTTTTCTTACAATTAAAAAAAAATTAAAGAGGGAAAGGTAGAATAGAAGGACAATTTTTTTTTACTGTAGCATTAAAAGTACTCTGTGTGGAAACAATTATTTGTCTCCTTCTCTTGTCATGCCAGTATTCTTTTGCAAAGGGTTGCTGTCATTCTTTTTCTTTGGGTATTTTTAGCATCTTTGCCTGTATGTTTTCCCATACATGCTATTTGAGCATGACATCTAGTTATGTTGTCCTGCCCTGCCTCACTATTCCAACTTTTTTCTTGGGAGCTTGATCTTTGTTACATGATCACTGAACTACTGTGCAAAACATAAAACAGTTAGTCACCAAACCTTAATTAAACAAACCTAAATATAATGATGGCAAGATCACCTAGATGACTGTGGTTGATCTCAAAAAGCTAAGCATGATGGAACCTAGTAAGTCCTTGGGTGAAAGCCCATCAGGAAATGCCACTGCTGAAGGCTAGACTGGAAAGTTGAAAAAGCATTACAGAAGACAATGGCATCTGTTTCCATACAGTTTCCATAAAAACTTCATGGACGCATCCATAAAGTCCCCAGACGTTAAGCCAGTTCAGAGGAGAACACCTTTATACTCCCAAAGCAAAATGGCTTTTTCAGACAAGGATGGGATACTAAGCTGCTGATTACAACAACAAAATACTGGTTTTTAATTGCCTCAAAAATTCCTTCAATGAAAAAAACTTGTGATATGTTAAATTTTAAAAGCTGCTCCTAGATATAATGCTATAAAAATATATAAAATATATAAAAGCCAGTGTTTACCAAGTCTAAAGCTTTACTCTTGTGTTGACAAATTGCCAGAAGGTACAAAATAGCTTTAACAATATATGGAGGTGGACAATCTCCCTGGTCCTCGACTGATAGAAGAAAACTCGATATAGCCGAGAACAGCTCTGTTTCTGGAACAAATCTGAAAATAAAAGATTAAAAAACACTTAAGCTGATTCATCTGGCTTACTGACTGCTTTTCGTATTCATGCCATGTCACCTACCTGTCTTCATGACTAAAAGCAAGGTAGAAAAGAAAGAGAAGGCTATATTGCTGATTGCGAAGTGTTTCATTTAAACATAAGGGATCTGGGGTTTCAGATAAGAGTCTGAGACTTTCCACTGCACTGAAGTTTAACTCGGGCAAAGTATTCCACAGGAGTGCAGATATTTCTTGCTCTATGAGGAAAAAACAATAGCAACCAAAAATGTTGGAAAAGCCTGGACAGCAAATAAACATAATTTCTGGCTTAGAATCATAACCCCTTACTCCTAATATGATTTTGGTAACAATGATCACATTATTGTTTTACTCTACAAAAGAGAACAGATTTCTCTTTTTCTTCTTAGTTCATATTGCTAGGTAATCATCTGACTAGCCCATATAATGATTATGGCAAATTCATATAACAATTTAGAGGTTGAACTGAAGGGCCCACTACACAAATACAAGAATCCAAATTTTGAATATCAATTACAGAGCCCCTATATTCATATCAGTCTCCACAAACTGGGCATATTTTTCCCAACTTTCCTGCCACAATCTTTATTCTCAGACTATAACCCTATGCTGCAGTTCAAAGAAACTTCACAAACAGTTACATCTTTTATCAAACTTACTTTGTTGTGAGGAATCCACCACCTTCTCAGGGGACAAATGAAGACTGAGGCACACACTATGAAGAAAGCTACAACAAGCTTGATTCAATGCAGCATTACTTTAAAGAAAAAGAAATCATGCCAAATAAAAATTTGATAGTGCATCCATGGACAAAACATCCCTCTTAGTTTAATTATATAGTATTCTATAAAGCTATGAATGCGAAGAGAGGACTCTTTAGAAAAAACCCTGATGCTGGGAAAGATTGAAGGCAAAAGGAGAAGAGGAAGGCAGAGGATGAGATGGTTAGATAGCATCACTGAAGCAATG